TCTACAAGACATTTAGAGAGGAACTACTGCCACTACTGTTTAAACTCTTCAATGAAATTGAAAGGGAAGCAATACTCCTGAATTCATTCCTGGAAGCAAGCATCACCTTGGTCCCCAAAGCAGAGAAAGACTCAACCAAAAAATAGAACTACAGGCCAATCTCACTAACAGACACAGATGCAAAAATCCTCTATAAGATACTGGCAAATAGAATGCAGATGATCATCAAAAAGATCATACACCCTGACCACATGGTATTCATCCCAGGGATGCAGGGATGATTCAACATATGCAAATCAATCAAAGTAATTATCAATAGAGCCAATGACAAAGCCCATATGATCCACTCATAGATGCAGAAAAAGCATTTGAGAAAATCCAACATGCAATTATGACAAAGAACCCTACAAAAAATGGAATAGATGGTCTCTACCTCAATCTGATAAAAGCCATCTATGAAAAACCTACAGCCAATATCATACTAAATGGTCAAAAACTCAAACCCTTCACACTAAAATCAGGAACAAGACAAGGATGTCCACTAACACCACTCTTGTTCAATATAGTCTTGGAAACATTAGCAATGGCAAGTAGACAAAAGAAATAAAAGGAATAAAGATAGGAAATGAAGTCAAATTGTCATTATTTGCAGATGACATGATATTCTATAGAGAGGATCCCAAGAACTCCACCAAAAGTCTCCTAGACTTAATAACCAAATTCAGGAAAGTAACTGTATACAAGGTCAACACACAAAAATCAATAGCTTTCCTCCACATGAACAACATTGAGAGAGAAATAGGGCAAACAATTCCTTTGACAATAGCATCTAAAAAGCTGAAATACATAGGAATCAACCTAACAAAAGAAATCAAAGACCCCTTCTCTGAAAACCATAGCACTCTGAAAAGAGAGATTGAAGATGACATCAGAAAATGGACAGACATCCCCTGCTCCTGGGTAGGAAGGGTCAACATAGTGAAAATGGTCATACTTCAAAAACTGCTATGTAGATTCAATGCAATCCCAATTGAAATCCCAGCAGCATACTGCACAGACCTTGCAAAAACAATCCAAAAATTCATTTGGAAGAAAAGATCTAGAATAGCAAAAGCATTTCTAGGTAACAGAGACATGGCAGGGGATACTACAATCCCCAACCTGAAACTATACTACAAAGCTACTGTGATAAAAACAGCAACGTACTGGCAAAGAAACAGACCCAAAGATCAGTGGAACAGATTAGAAGATGCAGAAACAACTCCAGACACACTCAGCCACCTCATCTTTGACAAAGGAGCCAAACACCTTCACTGAAGGAAAGACAGCGTCTTTAATAAATAAATGGTGCTGGAAAAACTTGATTTCAACTTGCAAAAGGTTAAAACTAGACCTCTATCTCTCACCATGCAATAAACTAAAATCCAAAGGGATTAAAGATCTAAATATTAAAACAGAAACGGGGAACCAGCTGGAACAGATGCTAGGTAGAACTCTTGAAGTCATTGGTGTAGGAAAAGATTTTATGAACAAAACTTCAGTTGCCCGTGAACTAGCACAATCAACAAGTGGGATCTCTTCTACTAAAAAGCTTCTGCACAGCAAAAGAAACCATCAACAGTGTGAAGAGACAACCCATAATGTGGGAAAAAATCTTCACCTGATGTTCCTCAGACAAAGGTCTACTATCTCGAATCTATAAAGAACTTTAAAAAATCAGACCTCCCAAATTTAGAGACACAATCCAAAAATGGGCATCTGAAATGAACAGACATTTCTCAAAGTAGAAATAGCAAATATACATGGAAAAATGTTCATCTCTGGTCATTCGAGAGTTGCAAATGAAAACAATGCTGAGATAACACCTCACCCCTGAAAGAATGACTGCTATCACAAAATCAACCAATAACAAATGCTGGCAGGGCTGTGGGGAAAGAGGAACCCTGCTCCACTGCTGGTGGGAGTGTAGACTGGTGCAACCAC